TGCCCTGCACAGGAGTCCTGCTGCCACCACAGCCAACCACAGAGGTTTGAGCTGCCCGAGCTCTTACCGGGCTCCAGAGCCGCGCTCCAGAGGCAAGGACACCGGGAGAACCTGGGACTCCATCACCTGCAGGAGAGAGCATTTAAGCCGAGTTAGGTGAGGACGGTGGAGCCAGGCTCCGTGTCAACTCCTCACAGTGCAGGGTAGGGCCCTGCGACCCCCCCACCCCGCACACCCACCGCGGAGGGAGGACCCAAAGGACACCCAGCACTGTCCTCGGGGGGGAGCCTCACCTGAGCGCCACGGTCAGGGCACGAGCACCACGTCCAACGCCCGAGGTCTCGTCAGTTCTGGAGGCCGGGAAGAGGCTTTTCCCTTCGTGGCAGCGCCTGATCCGACACGCACCGAGGAGCTCCGGGCTTGCTCTGGGAGAGCTCCAGACCTGGTGATCAGTAACACATGCCAGGGCTGGGGGGAAAGCATTGCTCTAGTGAGTGGGAAGTCACCGGACTTCCCGGTGAGGAGTGAAGAGTTGGAGTGAAGGAGCTGCATGCAGAGCACGAGGAGGAAAATGCAGACTCCTGTTTCAGATTTCAGTGCATGTTTTATTTCAGTTTTATATTTATTTCAGGCAAGTGCTTATTACATGGATATTATTCATGTTGGATACCTAAATTCTGGAGCATGAAGAGCCAGTATAGTACAGCTGAATAGTAAAAATACAATATGTACAAAATTAGTGGGTTTTTTTCACACAGCAGATGTATCCAAACACATAAAAATCTTACAATCTAGGTTGGTTTGAGCTCAGTGTTTCAGTAAGTTGGTACCACAGTGCCACGTCCTCACCCACTGAGGCAATTTGTGACCTTACAACCAGCCAAACACTCCTACTGCAAATGCTTTTAGCCAGGAGGGGGGTTACAGGCAGCGAGAGGCACGGGGGGGACCCGCTCCCACCACGGCTCCTCACCCAGCGATGCTGCGCCTGGGGTTGACCAGATGCAAGTAAATCACTGGGTGGATGCGATAAGTAACTCGAATTCTCCCCCTGCCCGGACACCCCCCCCCCGGATCGGGCTGTTGGGGTG